TCTCAAAACCAAGGCCAGCAGCTCTTCAGCCCCAGCTTTGAATCACCCAGGAAATACTTTTAACAGCACTACAAAAATAAATAACCACGGCAGTTGTTTATTTATAATAAATAAATAGAAACAATTATTTATTATAAATAATAACTTCTTTATCACGAAGAAATAAATAACCCCTTCCCCATCACCCTGCACCCCAGAGCCTCACAGAAGGGAAAATAAAATCCCAGCCCTCTCCTTCTGTCCCTCCTCGCCCACCCTGGCACTGCCAGCCTGGCACGGCCCGGAGTCTCCCACGGCCTGAGCCCGAATATCCCCGTCCCCCCAAACCCACCAGGCAGGGGAGACGAGGAATCCCTGGAGAAAAATAAAACCCTGGCAGGGAGAGGGAGCTGCCAGCGGGCACCACGGCGGCCTTGGAAGCGGTTAAAAATTGGCAAATTCTTCCCAGGGTTTATTTTTGCGCCGTATCGCGCTCAGAGCCGGGCAGAAAATGCAAACTGTGCTCGGCGAGCGGAGTTACCGCCGAGTTTACATTCCTCGAGGCTTCTGGAGCTGGGACGAGGCGAGGGAACTGCTCATTTCAGCCTTTTTTTTTTTTTTTTAAGCTTTAAAACAGGGAAGTGTTTTTTTTGGGGGGGAGCAGATGGTGATTTAAAAAAACCCCAAAAAACAACGTGAAAAAAGTTCGAGAGGTTTTAAATTTAAAGAATTTTTTTTTTTTTTTATAGACAGCTGGAATAAAATTAGATCTCATTTCCATAAGGCCGATGGCCATACTTGTGTCTGACAAATAACTCAGTAAATATATGCATATATATTATATATATATATTTATATAAAATAATACCCTATGAATGTACAAATTAATGTCCAGTATCTTGGTATGCATGTGGTGGGTTTAGCAGGCAAAGGGGATATGGGGGATGGATAAAATAAACCTCCCATGTATCCAAAATCCCTGCTAAATTTGAGCTGAGATTGTAAAAATGATCAGGCTCAGAGTACCCCCCTAAAAAAAAAAATTAAAAAAAAATATATATATATATAAAAGAGGGGACAATTATGGAATAAAAACTAGTGAAATGACTGAGTAGTTTGCTTTAATTTTATTTTTAAAATATACAATAAATTATTTAGCATATTATTTATCACACTGAAACCATTTGAGCTCAAGGCAGATGGAGATTATGTTCCTGTTTGTTCAGGACTACGGAGCGTGCCGAAAAATCCAGGCACACGATGCACGCTTCGGCCCTCAGCAAACCGAAAAAATATCTAATTTTTGTTGCCTTCCTATAGAAAAATATGGTTATTTGAAAGGATTAAGAGATTAAAGGATTACTCAATAACAAGGGTTAAAAATCCAGGTCCAGACACAAAAGGGGTCGATAGAAATGAGGGAATCGCTCTCCCCCCCCACAAGCCCTTCCCCACAGCCGCACCAAGCCCAGTGCCCGGGGCAATGCCAACTTTTGAGTGGGACTGGGGAGGGGGCAAAGCCCCGACCCGCCCAGCCCCGGTGCAAAGCAGCCTTGGGAGACGGGGGGAACCCGGGGGTGTTCCTGGGGAAGGGTGAAGGGAACAGAACACGGGAGCGTGGCGGGACAGCCCTGGGTGGGGAGCCCTGGAGGGGATGGCGGATGCTCGAGAGGGGACCCAGCCGGGGGTGGCTGCCCCCAGGGACAGGGGGTGGCAGGGAGGGTGAGCAGGGCAGGTGTCCGCACCCGGGGCTGGGGGTGGCGGGGGGGACACACGGGGCGTGGAGTGACCGGGGGTGTCCGCACCGGGGGTGCAGAGCTGTGGCCGTGGAACGGGGGGTGTCCGTGTGCCGGGGTGAGGGCGAGGGCGAGCGTCCGCGGCGCGGAGCCGGGGCCGTGCCCGGGGAATGCCCGCGCTGGGAGCGGGCGGCCCGGGCCGAGCGGGGCCGGGGGTGCCCGGGGGATGCCCGGGGCGGGGGCGGGCGGTGGGCCCAGCGCTGCCCGCGGCTCCTCCCCGCGCTGCGGTAGCTCCGCACCGGGGCCGCGCCCCCCCCGCCTCCCCCGCGCCGGGCAGGGCCGGAGGGGCGGCCCCGCAGCCAGCCGGGCCCGGGGGGGCCGCGCCGCAGCCCCCGCCACCTACCCGCACCATCCGGGGGCCGCCGTCGCGCTGCCGGGCGAGCGGGGCCGGAGCCTTCCTCCTCCTCCTCCACCTCCTTCTCTCCCTCCTCCTCCTCCTCCTCCCTCCCCGCCCCCGCACCGGGAGCGTCCCCGCCGCAACGCCGCCGGTGCCCCGGGCGAGGGGAGGAGGCAGAGGAGGAGGAGGAGGCGGGGGCGGCGGCGATGGGGCCGGGGCGCTGCGGGCTGCGAGGAGGAGCCGTGCCCGGCCGGAGTGGGGCTGCGCCGGGGGGGCGCGGGGGGGATGCCCGCGCTGCTCTGCCGTAGGCGCCGCCCGCCCGCCCCGCTCCCGGGCTTTATTTTTAATTTTTTTTAATTTTTTTTTTTTTAATTTTTAGAAAAAATTTTTTTTTTTTTTTTTTTTTTGCTTGCCTTCCAAAAATACCCATCGCACCCCCCTCGCCATCCCCCAGCCCCGCCACCCCCGCAGCGCACAAGGCCGGGCCGGGCGCGGGCCCCGCGCCCCCCGCCCGCAGCCCGGCCCCCCGGCCGGAGCATGGCCCCCGGCAGCGCCACGGAGCCGGAGCGAGGGTGACCGCCCGCGGGGGACACTGTGCCGTGCCGCTGGCCTCGGAGGACTTTTACTATAATTGCCATCATTGTTATTATTATTATTATTATTGGGGTTTTAATTTTTTAATTCTTTCGCGGGGCAGCGGTTTTTTTTTTCCTCCTCCTTCGGCGCGGTGGAAAACACACGTTTTAGACCAAAATCCCAAACCAGCCCATCCATCCTCTTTGCTTTGCGCTTCGCAGCAACTTGGAGCCCGTTAATTGCACTTGGCGATGGTAGGTCCCATGACACTTTCGTTTTCTCTTCTACTTCCCCCCTCTCCCCTTCACCCCCCCGTGTGCGTGTGTTTGCGGGTGCCCCCACGAGCAAAAGTTGCTGCCGGGGAGGGGGCGGCGGGGCGAGTTTAATACGGTGTCGGGGCGGGGGGGAGCGGGGCGGCGGGGGCGGGCGGGGGGAGCTGCCGCCGTCTCTCCTCCCCCTGCCCACCCGCCCCGCGGTACCGGGGGGCGGAGGCGGCGGCGGGAGCCGCCCGGCGGGGAGGTCGCGGCGCGGCGCGGGGGGAGCTCCGCAGCCAGCGGAGGACTGGATGGAGCTGAAAATGGCCGCTAAAAAAGGGGCGGAGAGGCCGCCAGCCGCACCGACTTGAACTTGGAAGTGACGCCCGGGAGGGTCGCGCTCAAGTCCGCGCTGCGCGGGGCCGCCCTGCCCGTACTGGGGTGGGAGAAGGGAATCACCGTGCTCGGTGTGAGAATAAAAACATTGCCCCCGGCCCCGCTGTGCAGGGATTCTCCCGCTTCTCCTCCTGCCAGGCCACGGGGGGAGCGCGGCGGCGCGGCCCGAGCCGCCCCGGGAGGATGCGGCGACCGGGCCCGCCCGGCCAAGTTTGCGCGGAGCCGCCGCATCCCGCGGGGACGGGGATGTCCCTGCGGGGGGAGGGTGCGGGGCGAACCCCAACCCCGGGCCGGGATGGGCCGCGGGGGTCGGCAGAAGTTGAGAGTGCAAATTAGTTGTGCGGGAAGAGGCGCTGCGGGAGCTCATCCCCGCAGAGGGAAAAAAAAAAAAAAAAAAAAAAGGCCAAAAAAAGCGGTTTTCTTATTTTGGGGGGGAAAGAAGCAGCGCTGGAGCCGCGGCCCCGCGCCAGGAGCGGCCGCGCTGCGGGTCAGGGTCCCTGAAGGGACGGGCGACCCCCGGTGCGGGAGGGGAGCGGGGCGCGGCCCCCCCGGGCCGGGAGGTGCCCGGGGATCCCCTTTGTGTTCCGCCCGTGGCGCTCCCCGCGCGCTCTCTAATTAGCGTCATTAGCGCCTGCGATCGGCCGGGGCCGGGGGGTTGCGGAGCGAGAACTTGCGCTTTGGAGTTTGCCGGGCGCAGGCTCCGCTCTTTTCACCTCCCGCTCTCTTTGTGCGGGGGGGGGTTGCGGGGCTCCCCGGGACGCGGGGGGAGAAGCGGGGCTGCCCGTGGCGCTTTCTTCCCCCGTGGCTCCGTGATGCTGCCGGTGGTTAAATAACACGGACGGGGGGGGGAAAAGCGTCTCCGCGGGATGAGCGGGATGCGGCGGGGGCAGCGCGGGGCGGCCCCCCCGCACCGGGGCTGGGTGCGGGGAGTAACACCAGCACCACCACCCCCCCGCGCCGGGGCCGCTGCTCAGAAGTTGCACATGAATCTGCAGGGTTTTTTCTCTCCCATCGCCGGATTGGCTCCGTTTAGTTTAAAAAAAAAAAATTAAAAAATAAAAACCCCCAAAACAAGCAAAGGCGGGCGCGCTCCGCGCCGGGCCGAGGGGGGGATTCGCCGTCCGCGGGGGCCCCGTCCCTCCCCCGCCCCCCCTGCCCCGCAGCGCCTCGGCCCTGCGAGCCAAAGGGGGTTCCTACATCTTTAAATGGGATGTAATATTTTGGGATGGGCTTTTTTCATAACGTCACTTCATTCCTCGCTCTTTTTTTTTTTTTTTGTCTTTTTTTTTTTTTTTTTTCATTTTCTCATTCTTTCTTTCCTCTCTCTCTCTCCGCTGCCTGGGTCTCGGATGGAGCCGCTTCCCTTCTAACTTCCCCGCCGCCCGTGCCTGCAGGCTGGGTGCGGACCCCCGACCCCCCCCCCGGGGCGAGGATGACCCTCCTGCCTCTTTAAACCGCCCCCCCAAAACCCCAAACAAACAACAACAACAAAAAAGCGCTTTATTTTCCAAGTGGGGGGGGGATAATTTTGCTTTTTATTTTTAATTTTTTTTAAGGGTTGGTTTGTTTTGGTTTGGTTTCTTTTTTTTTTTTTTTTTTTTTAGTTTTTTTGGCGGGGGGTGGAAGTTGGAATCTTTTTATTTCCTCCTCGGCCCCCCCTCCCGCGGGGCCGCCCCCCCGTGCCCGGCTGCCCCCCCCCGGGCCCCGCAGAGCCGCTCCGGAGGAGAGAGAGAGAAAAAACGCCCGGACTGCTCCAGCCTCCGAAATGACTCAGTAACTTTTACGCCTCGAGTCTCAGCCCTGCAATTAGGCACTTTCCCAGCACGGCTCGGGATGTATTCGTCTCCTCTCTGCCTGACCCAGGTAACCGGGACCCCCCCCGCGTCCCCCCCCCCCCGAATTTGCTCCTTTCGCCGCAACAGACTTTAGCAGTTGCAATACAAAAAGAAAAAAAAAAAAAAAAAAAGAAAGAAAAAAGAAAAGAAAAAAAAGAAAACCCAAGAAAATGCAACACCTCCCTCCCTAAAAATAATCATAACAGAGAAAGGCGGGTTGGGGCCGTGCAGGGCTGCTCAGAGGAGCCGCGTTCCCCTCCTGTCCCCCTCCCTCGCCTTTTGCAGGTTTTTTTTATGGTGTTTCTGGTGCTTTTTGGGTTTTTTCAGCCTTCACTTTCACTTGGGGCGTGGGGGGGTTGGAAGATTGCGTTGTGGTTTGGGTTTTATTTTCTGGTCGCTGCGCCCAGAGGTGGGTGGTGCGGGGAAGCCGCGGGCTCTGGGGGCCAGGGGGGGCTCCGTGGGGTGCGGGGGGTCCCCGGTGGGCTCGGGGAGCCCGGGGGGGGTCGGGGCTGCAGCCTCGGGCTCGGCCGTGCCGCCTCTTGCGTAGCGTGAAACTTTTTCCTTCCCTCCCCCCAGCCTGGCTGCACATGGTGGGGTGCAGGGGGTGGGGGGGGCACGGGCGTTTCGTGCAGAACCCTCCGACTTTGGGCCAACGCGCGCCCGGCCGTGCCACGCTGCGCCGCCAGGGCAGGGGGCCGGGCACGGCAGGATGTGGGGGCACCCCGCGCTGTGCCAGGCGAGGGGCGATGCCAGCCCCCGTCGGGGTGGCGAGGGGCAGCCCCGGCCGTGCGTGGGGACGCTGATGTCACCCCAGGCCACGCCGGGGTCCGGTGGCACGCGGCAGGGCGGCCGTGCTGGGCCCGCGGTGCCTCCGAGCGGGGCGTCCCTGCAGCCCCCCAGGAGTGGGGGGGACACCCAGGAACCCCCCCTGCCCACGGCGCGACCACTGCGGCTCTGCCTTTGCATCGTGCTTATTGATCGCTGGTATTTATTTAATTATTGAGCAGGCAGCTTTCTCTGCCTCGTAACCTGTTCCCTGCTGGCGGCCGCTGCCCGCTCGGGGCCCGGCCTCGTGCTGCCCCCCCGGGCTCTGCTCTGGGGGGGAGGGCAGGGGAGGGGGGGCTGCTGCTGCAGGACCCCCAGCCCTGCCCTGCCCTGCCCTGCCCTGCCCTGCCCTGCCCTGCCAGCCCCCCTCCCTCGGCACGGGGCTGCGGGGCTGCCTCGGGGCTCGGGCTGCGCTGCCCACGAGGGTCCGTGGGGGTCCGGGGGTCCCCTCGTGGCCCGCTGGGGTGCGGGGGCAGCGCGGGGTCCGGTCCCGGCTCCCCCCGGCCGCAGCGTGAGGCTGGTGAGGACACGGCCAGGGTGGGCAGTGCCAGGGCTGCTCAGATGACCCTGAGGTGGTGCTCCCTGTTGTGTGGTTGACTTGGCAAGGGTCACACCTCAATCTGGCTTATTTACTTCTCTTTCTTCCTTTCTCTTTTCTTCTTTTTTTTTTTTTTAACTCTTTTTCTTTCTTTTTCTCTTTCTATTTTTTATTTGTACTTTTTCTTTTTTTACCTTCTAATTTTTCTTTTTAATTTTTCTCTTGCTCTTTTTCTTTCTTGCTTGCTTTCTTGCTTGCTTTTTCTCTTTTTTTTTTTTTTTCTTTTATTCCCATTTTTTTGTTTCTTTTTTTTTCCTTTCCCAGCCATCCCGCCTTTCCCACCCTGACTCCATCCCTCTCAGGGGTCCCAACCCTCCGAGTCTCCAGCTGGTGCTGGGTTGGCAGCGCCCGTTGTTGCCAGCTCACAGTGCTGGTGTGGTGTGGGAAGCCGTGCGGTCGCTGGCCGGGCCGGGGCCGGCCGGAGCCTTTCTCCTCACAAACCCGCGCTGTTCCCAGCTCTCCTCTGGCCGGCGGAGGGGACCTGGTTTTTCCCACTGCCCGGGCACGGGGCAGGCTCCGGTGTCCTCCCCCTCAGCCCGACACAGGCTCAGCTCCGATCGAGCCCGGCTCGGCTGGGGCCAGCCCTCGTCCCCAGCTCCAGCCCAGCCATTCCCGTTCCCGTTCCCATCCCACCCGCGCGGCGGGCAGGCTCGCCCGGGCTCGGGAGCTGCGGATGGTGATGTGGATACATTGGAACGTGCGCGGGAGCCGCCCTGCCTTGGCCTTTGCGCATCTCCCCGCCAGCAGCACCGCCAGCCCCTGGAGCCCGGCACGGCCCTGGCACCGCGGGACCCCGCAGGCGACATTCCCGGCCGGAACGGGCCCGAGCTGGGGAGCCCAGCGGCACCAAAATAGCCCTGGCAAAGGGCTGATAGCCCGGGACACGCTCCTGGCCGCGGCCTCGGCCGTAGCTCCCGTCAGGCTGGGGGGTGGCTCTGTGCCCTCCCAGCTCTGTGTCCCTGCTTGGGGACTTCCTCCCGCTTCCGCAGCTCACCTCTGTCCCTGCTCGGGGCCAGGCCGGGAAGCCAAGAGGGAACTGCCGAGATTAGCAGGGAAGCAGCGCCGGAACCGCCGCCACGCACGAGGCCTCACCCTGCCCACGGGGAGCGGGGCGGGGGCCGGGGGTGTCCGGCTGCCCAGGCCCCAAAATAACCCCGGGGCTGAGCACCTGCCAGGGACCTGCACGTGTGTCCCCTGGGAGCTGCTCCCGAGAAGCCAAAGGGATTTCCAAAGTGGTAACAGTTATCCTTGGCTCCTGGATCCGCACTGGGGGACATTTGGGATACTTCTTGTGGGGGAATATTGCGAATTTTATGACTGGCGATGCTCCTACACCTCTGGCTCATGCCTGGTACCTGGCAGTGCCCCCAGCACACCCCCAGCTCCCCACCCTGGTTCCTGCAGGATGGGAATGAAGTGAGATGGGCGCCGTCCTCCAAGGCCGCCACAATGTTGGAAGCTGGGCATCCCAGCAGGGTCTGGTCAGACTCTTCCCTCCGCCAGGCTCCATGCCAGGGGTGCAGAGCTGATTTTGGGATGGCAGAGGCGATGCACCCGCACTGCCTGACTGAGAGCCAGTGCCCAGGCACAGACCCCCGTGTGTGCCACAGTCAGTGGCTTGGGATCTGAGGGGCACCGGGGAGTACCTGGCTAAGCTGGCCTGGCACAAACCTTGGTACCAGCAAACGGGCACAGCTCCGGGCCTGGGGGGTGGAGCTGGGCTGCCAGAAGCATTGCAGCCACGTGGCACGGTCACAGCCACATCTCCAGGCATCCGAGGGGATCCCACCTCTCCCCGGCCACGGCTGGGCTCCACACATCCCTGGGCTGCCACCACTGCTGCAGGCATGTGGCTGGGGCAGGGAGCTGCCTGCTGGGCACATCTCGTGGGGCATCCTTTGGCAAGCCCCCTTCCCGAAAGCGCCGGGGCTTTTCAGCACCGGTGCTCACCCCCTCCACCAGTAGCTCCGGAGAACTGGTTTCCAGCCGGGAGCTCAGATCGGCTGCCAAAGGATGGGAGCAGCAAGCCGGGCATGGCGGGGGAAGAGAGGGAAGGTTGCAACACACTTTCAATTCTCCCATCTGCTGAGTATTGTTTGGGAAAAACAATGAGGCTGTTCTTTAAATGCAACCTTCGGGAGATCCTCGCTTTCCCCGCGGCGCCCGCCGTGCCCGCCTGCCCTGGCGAGCCCTGCCCCACTGCTCCTGCCCGATCCCAGCTTAAATCCTCACCCGGGAAAAACAGATCCTGTGTTCAGGGGGGTTTTTGATGCTGGGTCGGAGGGCACACGGGCAGGGAGGGGATAAAGGCAGCTGCGTGAGGGGCTGCTGGCCGGCGCTCACGCTGTGCCGCTCTCCCCCTCATCACCTTGAACTTGTCTGGGGCCTCGTGCAGTAAATCAGCCGCCCTTTTTCCAGGTACCTGCCGATTTCTCCCTTCCCTGGGCAGCTTCGCCCTGCCCACGGTTCCCTCCCTGACCGTGCTTCAGGCCCCTCATGCCCACAGTTCCCTCTGTGCCGGGGCAGGGAGCGATCCCAGCGCGTGCCCAGCGCTGCGGGTGTGCGCACGCCTTTGCAGACTGCTGAACAAAGCCCAGCTGCCAGAGCCCAGAGCCCTGCCCGGAGCTCTTGGAGCAACTGGCAATAGCTCCCTTTTCTATTCCCCTGAGCCTGGCAGGGCTGGGCATGGATGCCAGCAGCCTGATCCTGTTTGGACCCGGCGGTGTTCCCCCCTTGCAGGGGTGGCTGTGGCGGGGACGGTGTGGCCAAGGCAGTGCTGGCGTGGCAAGGCTCGCTGGGCAGAGGAACCATGGCATGGGCTGGCCCAGCTAGCCCTTATCAGGGCACAGCAAAGAGAGAGAAAGGCGGCTCCCCAAGGAGCCTGGGCAGCCCTGGAAAGGGGAGCTCAGGGGCCTGGGGGAGAGCTGCCACGGTGGCACCGAGGGATCTGTCCCGACCCCGGGCTGGGCATGGTGGGGAGGGCCTGAATAGGGATTTGGTTCTCCCGGGGAAAGGGAGGGTCTGTGTGTCCTGTCTTTGGAGGTGGTGGAGGCAGGTCCCTGCCAGGCAGGGCTCTCTGGGAATGGCCCCAGGGACAGGGACAGCTTGCCCTGTCTGCTCACCCACCTTCCTTGCCCGATGGTGCCTGTGCCAGCCATCCCAGTGCCTGGCCCCTGGACACGTCCCTGCAGCCCAAGGGGTGCCCATTTTCCCCCCATCACTGTCGTTGTGCCTGCACCTGTTCTAGCCACAAGCCAAGCCCTTGGTGGCAGGATGGGGATGGGGACGGTGGTGGGGAGCATCCCCAGAGTCCCTCACTGGAGAGGAAAAAGGAGACTTGTTGGGGAGGTAAAATCCCTCCCTGTGAAGCTGGCACGCTGCCTGCCACCCCCGGCCGTGCTGTGGCTCCTCGGCGCAGGGATGGCAGTGCCAGCACAGAGCATCTCCGAGGGGGCTGGCTGCCCGTGGGAGGGGCTGGGGGGGCTGCTGTCCCCAGCAGTCCTTGCACCCAAGCTGGGAAGTGCAGGCAGGGCCCTGGGGTGCTGGGGATGTGCTCCTCAGGGACCCATGAGGAGAGGATTTCTCCCACAGCACCTTGGGGTGTG